TTCCCTCATCTACCACCCGGCCCGCACAGTACACCTCCCTGTAACAACCCAAACGAAGACAGCATCATTTACTGCACATTCCCACAACTCTGTGACGCCTCCAGAAACCCTACTGCAAAAAAGGCAGCAGAATCCCGCTAGATTCATTGCGGGGACAACGCGCGGGATTAGTATCTCTACGGCGAAGCCTGCGAAACCATTTAGATGCGCACCGATCAGCGAAGAACTGAGTCGCGACGTCTCCTATGGGTAGCTTGGACAGCACAACCTTCGCTCCACAGTCGTGTAGCTTCTGCAGCTTCTCGTACAGAATGTTCCACTCGACATCGACTACGGCCTGGTATTCCTGCAACACGCAAGCCGCAGGTCAAACACTGTGCACCGCAAGCCACAGGTCAAACTCTATACACCGCAAGCCACAGGTCAAACTCTGTGCACTGCAAGCAACAGGTCAAACTCTGTACACAGCAAGCCACAGGTCAAACTCTGTACACTGCAATCCGCAGGTCAAACTCTGTGCACCGCAAGCCACAGGTCAAACTCTATACACCCCAAGCCGCAGGTCAAGCTCTGTACACCCCAAGCCACAGGTCAAGCTCTATACATCGCAAGCCACAGGTTAAGCTCTATACACTTCAAGCTGCAGGTCAAAATCTGTACACCGCAAGCAAGCGGTCAAGCTTGGATTGACAAAAAGGATTGCACATCAGTAGAACCAGCCGGGAGCAACTACAGGTCAGGTCAAACACGGCTACTCGATATAGACAATGCAGTCATTATTTACTTAACATTAAACCCCAAAATAAGCATCCGGGCTGAAAATATAGTCATAACTTAAGGGGAAATCATAATACTACTATATTTAACATTATGAAAAATTTATGTATATTGCAATTAACCATTGTTGGAACTCCAATTTTGAACAGAAGTTAAAGTTTCAGCAACTGAAAAAAAACTCAGAACATTCTGCAGAAACTTTCTCTTCTCATCTTCACAAATGAATCGAACATCGCACCACCCATACAAGTGTGCCGTGCGCGCACGCATACGCACCTCCACATTCTCAAGTCTGATCTCTGCGTTCTCGCGCTCAGACTTTAGCTCCAGTTCAATGTTGAGCATGGCGATCTTCGGATCTTTGTACGTCTTGGGCTGCATCTCAAATCCGGCGTACGAGAAGGTCTTCTTAAAGGCGACTCCATCGACTAATCGTGTTTCCTACGAGATTGAAAATCGGTTGATGCACAAATCGCATGCTCACAGCACATACATATGCACATCACCGTAATTCATTATAATATTAAATTACAAAATTAATACAATATAATATTATATTTAATAATACTACCACTACTACTACTACTACTGCTGCTGGCTGCTGCTACTACTACTACTACTACTACTACTACTACTGTTATATTATGATATTTAACTAAGACGCGTATAGTATACGCAGCATCCGCGTGCACGCGTCGCTACCGTTATCGACGTACCTCGAGGGCGCCACCTTGCACCTTCTTGATGCCGATCATGTTGAGAGGCAGCAGCTCGTCCATGTTGAACACCGCGTCGACGACCATCTTCGAGAAGTAGCCCTTCTGCCTCGCAATGAGCTTAGAGCAGAGCGACGTCGCCGCGCATTTCTCCAGCAGCGCGCGAAACTCCCTGCGAACACGCGCGGCCATCGAAGCGGTAACGAAGATCTACGCTTGAATATATATTTACAGCTACCGTATCGTATCTACATCCCCTCCCCTCCCGCACGTCGCACCGTCAATGATCTACTCTCGGATATATATATATACAGCTATTGTATCGTATCTACTTTATTCTCCACATATAAGTAAGTGTCACAGTCGTGAGTGTGACGAGCCATCGAACGTCCCCACCCCAACACCCTGTCAGTCCCCCTGCCCCTCTCGATATAGTCAGTTTCTAACCAGCTACTCGATATAGTCAGTTTCTAACCAGCTACTCGATATAGTCAGTTTCTAATCAACTACTCGATATAGTCAGTTTCTAACCAACTACTCGATATAGTCAGTTTCTAACCAACTACTCGATATAGTAAGTTTCTAACCAACTACTCGATATAGTCAGTTTCTAACCAACTACTCGATATAGTCAGTTTCTAACCAACTACTTGATATAGTCAGTTTCTACCACATATGGGATTTCTCCCAACAAGCCCCCAACACATATTTAAAACCGATAGTATCTCTTTCTTCGGGCACAGTCATTCGAAAATTTCTTGTCGCAACTCTGATACCTCTTATCTGAACCCTGAACCTTTCTGTTCGACCTTTCTGAACAACTTCTTATCAGAAATTAATATCAGGAGACCGTTCTCAGAAGCATTTTTATTTGAATTATTAGTTCTAGTCGCCGCTTCATCTGCATAACAATGTACGAATCATCACAGCACAGCCACGGTGTCCTCAACAACAACCCGCAGGTTTTGCTCGTCCGACTCCGTCTCTCGAGTACACGACCGGACTCCCAGGACCTTCCCGACATCGAAAACATCCCACATCACAGAACCTTCCAGACTTATTTGAAATTACAGGAACTTTCCAGGTTTCCCAGGTGAAATTGCCCGTAATTTCAACAACTCACCGCTCGCGTGCTTCTGTCTAAGCTTGTTGAGAATGTTCGTCGCGTCGAAGCCGGCGTTGTCACACAGCTGTCTCGGGATCACCTCGAGGGCCTTGGCCATGGCGGCGATCAGCAGCTGCTCCTTGCCCGGGATCGTGCGCGAGTAGTCTCGCAGGTAGCGGCTCAGCTCCATCTCTATCGCGCCTCCGCCTGAAACACCGACACGACGTTAAAGAGCGTCCGATCGTAGCGTCGCGTCGATCGTAACAACAACAAATCTTCATGCAACGATCCTTAATGCTTGCTCCCATTTACTCTGGTGCCCCTACAACAATTCCTGCCTTGCGCAGGAAGCAACTTAAGCCTTAAATGCCGACGTGGGCGTGGCTCGAAAGTAGGTCATCTGGCGTGCTCCAAAATAGGACGTTCACATCTCTCCCATAGGAGTAACAACTGTATGCAATTTGAAACATGTGGGTCAAACGGTTCTCAAGTTATCGTTGACCGTAGCCAAATGTTGACGGATGGACGGACGACGCCCCATGGCAATAGCTCATCTTGACGATGTCAAGGAGAGCTAAAAACGTCAAACTCGACCCAGCTAGCACAGTAATCGCAGTCGTGCTTCGCGACGACGCCACGCTGCTACCGCTAAACAAGAGAGCATCCTCACCGGCGACGATGGAATCGTTCCTCATCGCTCGCCGGACGATCATGATGGCGTCATGCAGGGATCGCTCGGTTTCCTCGATGAACTGTTCGGCACCCCCGCGCAGGATGATCGTGCACGTCTTCGCCTTATGGCCACCGCTGAAGATGTTATACCTGCAAAACACACACACATACACATACATATATATATGTAACACACATACACACACGCACGCACGCACGCACGCACGCACACATATATATATATAGATACATACATATATTATACAAATACATATACAAATATATATATACATACATATGCACGCACGCACGCACGCTCACACATATCTAGATGCATGCATGCATGCACGCACAAACAGTTTTTATATTTTATTACTCTAGTATTTATCTATAGATTTTTAATGTAAGTCATCCAATAACCGATAACAACGAAGATCTCGCTCTCCCTCCTCCACAACCAGGAAGCCTCCCTCTCCCTCCTCCACAACCAGGAAGCCTCCCTCTC